GCAATCGGAGCTTCTTTCGTGGTTTCCCTACTGGGTGGAATGAAAACAAGAGCCTGCTGTTATTCTGTGAAGTTGGAGTCTCTCCCTTCCCCTTGGCTTGTTCACTGAGTCAGATGGTCTGGACACCCAGCCTCAGTTCAGAGTAGAGGCAGTTGCTGTCCTGTCCAGAATGCCCTGTTGCAAAGACTGATTTTAGAGGGTCCCTATGTTTTCAGTGAAATAGGGTGTGAAAAGAAATGGACCCTTTCTTAAGAGATTGCCCTGTCCACGGGGACATCTTGGTACAGTTACTATTACTTTAGTAAATCAAACATAGGGGAAAATACTCAATACTCCACGCCACCTGACCTCAGGCTCGATTCTTGGAAAATACTGTCGAAAATGGTAATGCATCTGTTTCTGTGGTGAACACCAGGCTGGAGTGCAATACGGGAGGCTCAAGATTGCTAAAGTGGAATTAGAATCCCAAGTCCCACTAATAGGTATAGAATGTTGAGCACAAATCTTTACATCTCAATGACAGTGAATTCGTGACTCATTATTATTATTAAAAGATCATTTTACTGGGGGCTCTTACAGTTCTTATAACAACCCATACATCAATTGTATCAAGCATAGGTTTACATATGTTGCCATCATTATTTTCTAAATGTTTACTTTCTGTTTGAGCCCTTGGTATCAGTTTTCTCTTTTTTCCTTTCCTCCCCTCTCTCTCTGCCCCCACTGTGACCCCTTGATAAATTATAAATTATTGTTATTTTCATATCTTACACCGACTGCTATCTCCCTTCCTCCATGGTTTCTGTTGTTCATCCCCCTGGGTGGGGGGTGGGGGGTTATGTGTCGATCATTGCAATTGGCTCCCACTTCCTCCCCTCCTCTCTCTACTTTCCCCCTACTCTCCTGGTATCCCTACTCCTATTTCTGTTCCTGTATTCCGTGTGTCATGAGCTCATATCTGTACCAGTGTACAGGCTCCAGTCTAGCCCAAAGAGGAAGGCAGGACTGGGGTCATGATAGTGGGGGGTGAGGAAGCCTCAAGGAACCAGAGGAATATTGTGTGTTTCATCAGGGCTATATTGCACCCTG